TGATTGGCCAGCTTCAATAGGAGCCCCTGGTGGAGAAGAGGGTTCATGGCAGAAACGGGGCATGACAGAAGGAAATTTGCATATGGTCTCTGATTGGCCAGCCTCAAATCCAACATTCCGAGATGAGAAAGAGAGGAAAGGAAAGGCCGGGGCCTGGGTCAGAACACTCCCAATACAGATCGAAATAGGCACACAGAGCCCCCATCACCCACTCGACATCCTACTGCAGTTTGGAGGACTATGAACCATGGATGATGGGACTTGCAGTACCACCACTCACATTCTGAGACCGCTGTTAACCTTATCCAATGACTGATCAGGACCAAACTTCGCACAGAGACCTCTCATGACCCACTTTACGTCCTGTTGTGGTTTGGCCGGGGATGGACCGTGGATTATGGGACTTGCAGTACCATTGCTCATTCTTCAGACCACTGCAACCCTCATCCAATTACCAAAAAATACCAAACTTGGCACACTGAGTCTCCATGACGCACTCTACATCCAGGTGCAGTTTGAAGGAGGATGCACCATGGACGATGGGACTTGCAATACCTGCACTCCCTTCCTAAGACCATTACAACTGCCAACAATGATGGATCAGGACCACAATTTACACAGAGACCCAGCATGACCCACTCTACATCCTGGTGCGGTTTGGAAGAATTTAACAATGGATGATGGGACTTGCAGTCACTTCACTCACTTCCCGAGACCACTGAGACCCTCGCCAATGACTCATCAAGACTAAACTTGGCACATGGAGCTTCAATGACCCACTCTACATCCTGGAGCAGTTTGGAGGACGACAGACCATGGATGATGGGACTTCAAGTACCTCCACTACCCAAGACTGCTGCAAAACTCATCTAATGACCAATCAAGACCAAAGTTGCCACACAGAGCCCCCATGACCCACTCTACATCCTGCTGCAGTTTTGGAGAAGGGTGGACCATGGATGATGGAACTTCCAGTACCTTCACTCACATTCTGAGACCTCTGCAAACCTCATCCAATGACGGATCAACACCAAACTTGGCACATAGACCTCTCATGACCCACTTTACGTCCTGGTGTTATTTGGAAAACTTTGGAGATGGATGATGGGACTTGCAGTACCTTTGCTCATTTCCTGAGACCACTGAGACCCTCGCCAGTGACTAATCAAGACTAAACTTGCCACATGGAGCTCCAAAGACCCACTCTACATCCTGGTGCAGTTTGGAGGAGGACAGACCATGGATGATGGGACTTCAAGTACCTCCACTCCCTTCCAAAGATTGCTGCAACCCTCTTCTAATGACCAATCAAGACCACACTTGGCACACAGAGGCCCCATGATCCACTCTACATCCTGCTGCAGTTTGAAAGGGGATGGACTTTGGATGATGGGACTTGCAATACCTTCACTCACTTACTGACACCACTGCCACCCTCATCTAATGACTGATAAAGACCAAACTTGGCACACAGATCCCCCATGACCCACTCTATATCTGCTGCTGTTTGTAGGAGGATGGCCCATGGATGATGGGACTTCAAGTACCTTCACTCACTTCCTGAAAATAATGCTGCCATTATCCAAAGACCAATAAAGACCAAACTTGGCATACAGAACCGCCATTACCCACTTTCTCTAATAACCCGGGCAACGCCGGGTCCCCAAGCTAGTATATAATAAAGAAGAGTGTTTGTATCGGACAGAATTGTGGAGAGAGGGCGGTGTATGTGGCAGCGTTCTGATTGGCTGCCGCTGTGGTGCTATTTGCATATGGTCTCTGATTGGCCAGCTTCAATAGGAGCCCCTGGTGGAGAAGAGGGTTCATGGCAGAAACGGGGCATGACAGAAGGAAATTTGCATATGGTCTCTGATTGGCCAGCCTCAAATCCAACATTCCGAGATGACAAAGAGAGGAAAGGAAAGGCCGGGGCCTGGGTCAGAACACTCCCAATACAGATCGAAATAGGCACACAGAGCCCCCATCACCCACTCTACATCCTACTGCAGTTTGGAGGACTATGAACCATGGATGATGGGACTTGCAGTACCACCACTCACATTCTGAGACCGCTCTCAACCTTATCCAATGACTGATCAGGACCAAACTTCGCACAGAGACCTCTCATGACCCACTTTACGTCCTGGTGTGGTTTGGCCGGGGATGGACCGTGGATTATGGGACTTGCAGTACCATGGCTCATTCTTCAGACCACTGCAACCCTCATCCAATTACCAAAAAATACCAAACTTGGCACACTGAGTCTCCATGACGCACTCTACATCCATGGTGCAGTTTGAAGGAGGATGCACCATGGACGATGGAACTTGCAATACCTGCACTCCCTTCCTAAGACCATTACAACTGCCAACAATGATGGATCAGGACCACAATTTACACAGAGAGCCTGCATAACTCACTCTACATCCTGGTGCGGTTTGGAAGAATTTGACAATGGATGATGGGACTTGCAGTCACTTCACTCACTTCCTGAGACCACTGAGACCCACGCCAATGACTCATCAAGACTAAACTTGGCACATGGAGCTTCAATGACCCACTCTACATCCTGGAGCAGTTTGGAGGACGACAGACCATGGATGATAGGACTTCAAGTACCTCCACTACCCAAGACTGCTGCAAAACCCATCTAATGACCAATCAAGACCAAAGTTGGCACACAGAGCCCCCATGACCCACTCTACCTCCTGCTGCAGTTTTGGAGAAGGGTGGACCATGGATGATGGAACTTCCAGTACCTTCACTCACATTCTGAGACCTCTGCAAACCTCATCCAATGACGGATCAACACCAAACTTGGCACATAGACCTCTCATGACCCACTTTACGTCCTGGTGTTATTTGGAAAATTTGGAGATGGATGATGGGACTTGCAGTACCTTTGCTCACTTCCTGAGACCACTGAGACCCTCGCCAATGACTAATCAAGACTAAACTTGCCACATGGAGCTCCAATGACCCACTCTACATCCTGCTGCAGTTTGGAGGAGGACAGACCATGGATGATGGGACTTCAAGTACCTCCACTCCCTTCCAAAGATTGCTGCAACCCTCTTCTAATGACCAATCAAGACCACACTTGGCACATAGAGCCCCCATGATCCACTCTACATCCTGCTGCAGTTTGAAAGGGGATGGACTTTGGATGATGGGACTTGCAGTACCTTCACTCACTTACTGACACCACTGCCACCCTCATCTAATGACTGATAAAGACCAAACTTGGCACACAGAGCCCCCATGACCCACTCTATATCCTGCTGCTGTTTGTAGGAGGATGGGCCATGGATGATGGGACTTCAAGTACCTTCACTCACTTCCTGAAAATAATGCTGCCATTATCCAAAGACCAATAAAGACCAAACTTGGCATACAGAACCAGCCATTACCCACTTTCTCTAATAACCCGGGCAACGCCGGGTCCCCAAGCTAGTAAGATATAAGAGTGGTCTAACCACAGCCTGTTTCAACCCAGATAGAAAATCTGTAGCCATACCTGTTATACGTATTATGACAGCTAATCATTGATTAGCCAGAATTGAGAATTCCAAATCCATGTTCCAGGAAAACAGAGAAATGCTGCTAAGTTCTTACTGAATCCTGCAGCCTCCGTCTTGTTCCTTTGGCCCTGTTCAGATGTGAAGTACTGGGATGGAGAAACTGGTAATTATGACAAGAAATCTGGTTGGAGGAAGAGGAACAAAGACGTTATTATTGAAGTAACTGAGCAATTGTAGCGTGAAATTGTAAAATGAAACTCCTTAGGTATAGGTTCTCAACCTTTGGCCCTTCTGGTGTATTGGACCACAGTTACCACAATCACTTACCACTGTTTGTGCTGTCTGGGGCTTCTCGAAATTGAAATTTAAAATATCTGGAAGAACAAAGGTAGAAAACCACTCATTTATTTATTCATTGAGGGGTTTTCATGTTTGGATAAATGTTTGCTGAATGATATGATCACTGCATAATTTTAAACATCACTAGTTTTATTGTTTCAGCATTTTATCTCAAGATATTCCTATGAATAACAAGGAGAGTGTAAGGTATTTTCAGAATAAATTTTCTGTATGAGTCATTTATAATCTTATCAACTAAACTCCATAGAAGGGAAACTTTGACAATAGGAGTAATAGTTTGATCCTTAAAAATGTTGGCTTTTACATTTATCTGTTCAGTTCAAGGACATGTTACTTTGAAATGTATTTATAAGCTGAACTATATAGCAATTTAGATTTTACCGTAAGACCTTATCCTGATGGTGGCCAGTAGATGGCACTGTGAGCATTACTTTATCTTTTGATTGTTATTTATGTTTAAATGCAAGTACTAGATCAGTGTTTCTCAACCTGGGGGTCGGTACCCCTGAGGGGGGACACGAGGGGGTTTCAGAGAAGCCACCAAAGACCATCAGAAACACATATTTCTGATGGTCGTAGAAACCTCTTTGGCAAAGAAGCCGAAAGATTTCTTTGCCTCTCCTCCTCTTCGTTTTTGGAAACAGACTGTGAATCTTCCCACTAAAAGCCCTCCTCCTGCTATGATTGGCTGGCTTCTCAGTTGGTGAACTATACATCCCAGCAACTACAACTCCCAAATGACAAAATCAACCCCACCACCTCACCCCACCAGTATTCAAATTTGGGTGTATCGGGTATTTGTGCCAAATTTGGTCCAGTAAATGAAAATACATCCTGCATATTAAACATTACTCTCCATTACTGTAGCAAAATTACAGTTATGAAGTAGCAATGAAAACAATATTATGGTTGGGGGTCACCACAACATGAGGAACTGCATTAAGGGGCCATGGCATTAGGAAGGTTGAGAACCACTGTTCCAGATGAATTCAATGCTGTTTGCTTTGTTTTTCTGTGGATGCTGCATCAAAATGTATAAGATTCTTAAAACATTACACATGGGTTGTACTTTCAAAGCTTAAGTCTTAACAGAAAAAAATCTCTTTTTTCAATCTTTAGGAACGATTTGAAGCACTCTTCTCAATCTATGATGATCACGTTACATTCCAGCTATTTAAAAGCTTTAGAAGAGTAAGAATAAATTTCAGCAATTCAGAAGCAGCAGCAAGAGCACGAATAGAACTGCACGAGACAGAATTTAACGGGAAAAAGCTGAAGTTGTATTTTGCCCAGGTACATATTCTTTACCAAAATACGAGTCCCACCTTACTGTTAAATTCATAGTGATGGTATAATTTATATATGATCCAGGAGTAAACACAGTCTTTAGAGAGTCTATGTCCCATCTTAACCTTCAAGGTCAGTTATTCATTTTTCTGTTTTTCCAAATGAACTTTAAATCTCTGTGGGCAAACTTAATCTGTTGCATTTTGGAAAAAAATGGTAATCCTACCCTTTTTGAAAAGAAAAATTGTATATATTTTTGGCAAATGTGTTTTTCCATGAACATCTGGAGACCACCTTTTGAAAACCAATAGTCGAGGAAAGGCATGACCTTGTTAGAAGTCAACCCTTTGAAAAAGTGATGTTCACAAGCATTCATGTAAATGGCACACAGGCAACTTAGCAGTTAAACTGATAAACCATGTCTTTGAACTGCCAGGGACAAAGACATGCCATTGCATAAATAAAAAACATATGCCTAGCTAGCAGAGTTTTGAAATGTTTCGTTGAAGTTGAAGCTGAAATTGAGGTTGCCCAAAACAAATATTCTCCCTTGAAACCTCTTAGTTTAAAATATGCACTCAGAGACAAAAAAAGCAAAATCTTCTTTAAAAACTAACTTATCTTGTTTACTCACAAACATCTATTAATTTAGCATACAGGGGCATTTCTTATTAAAGTTCAGTTACAGATAGGATGTAACTTCTTTGTGTTGAGAACACAGGGCATGATTCTTAATCAATAGTCCATAGTCCAAAGTCTTTAAGTATACAGCTTATGAAAGTCCAAACTGTATACTCACTGCTTCTCAAAGCAAACATATAGTAAACTGTTCCTGCATAAGTCCAAAAGACATCTACTTCTACTGAAGTCCAAAAGCATACTGTATCCACCTTCACTGAGGTCTAAAGCGAAATGATAACATTGAAGTTCAGAGGCATAGTAAAGGTAAAGGTTTCCCCTTGAAATTAAATCTAGTCATGTCTGACTCTGGGGGGTGGTGCTCATATTGATTTGTAAGCTCTTGTTCTTATTGCCCAAAATTTAGTTGGAAGACTAACAGCTACAGAGACTTCATCTCTGAGAACAATTCTCTTGTTTTCTGATTTTCTCATTAAGATTTTTCAACACAATCTGGCAAATCTTTACATGTCTGTACTGCAACCTCGTTCATTATCATCATAATCAAGTGGTAAAGGGGATTTGTAAAAGGTGAAAACTTTAGTGATATGTAAGTTACTCACACTTAAACGAGCTTGTTTTGTCACTTCTGTGAGATGTTTTGGAGAGTGATGTGCTTTTCATTAAGTTCATATCTGTCGTTAATAGGATAAAATGGTCTTTTAGTCAGAGATCTTTTTCTTCCTAAAGTTATTTCAGTTCTAGTAAGATAGGACAAAGCTGTGCGAATATTTTTGCAGAATCTTTTTATCTCACTTGGGAAGCTGCTCTGTTAGTCTGTCATGCTTTCATTACTGCATCCTTTCAAACAGATTCTTTCTCTTTTGTGTTAGCCATTGAGGTGCCTATTGATTTCATCTCGGTGTTGTGCAAGGTAGATAGCAGAGGCCATTTTGTTGGCTTACAGATCTGTGTGCCTACTCATACCTGAAGGACTGCAGAGTCATATTAGCTACACAGTGGCAAATTCAGTGGGTGGTTATATGAAGGGATATCCCTTCACCTCATCCCAGATTTCCACTTCCTTGAACTGTTATGGACTTGGTATCCAACCATTGAGTGTATGCTTCCTTTGATCAAACTGCCCTGTCTTTGATCTTTGTTTAATGTGTACTTAACTCTGGTAAGTTAGCAAGAGGAATCAGTCACCTGAATGCATGAGTCACCAAAGCCACAAAGAAGAAGAACAAGTTTTTTTGTCTATAATTCATTCGTATCTCAGATTTCACTGCACAGCCTCCTCCCCTCTCAGTGCCTTGCTTGTCCTTTTTGTTCATTTATTAATGTAGAGACCATAGGTCACTGGCATTTACACAAATAAATACAATATGTATAAAGACAATATAAAACATTATAACAATGCACTATAAAACGATGAGCATACAGGTCTTGCCTATTAAAATTCAGTACAATTATGACACAATATAACTTCGAAGATAAAATTATTTTAGCTAGGAGCATCCCCAAAACAGTCAACTATAATGTTGGCAATAAGTTTTGCCTGGATTTTTTTTGCTGCCAATATTTATTTATTTCATGTCAAAAGCATTGCATAAAATAGTTTATCTAAAACTGATAAAATAAAGGGATCACAAGCTATTGTCGAAGGCTTTCATGGCCGGAATCACTGGATTGTTGTAGGTTTTTTCAGGCTATGTGGCCATGTTCTAGAGGCATTCTCTCCTGATGTTTCCCCTGCATCTATGGCAAGCATCCTCAGAGGTAGTGAGGTCTGTTGGAACTAGGAAAATGGGTTTATATATATCTGTGGAATGACCAGGGTGGGGCCAAGAACTCTTGTCTGTTGGAGCTAGGTGTGAATGTTTCAACTGACCACCTTGATTAGCATTTGATGGCTTGGCAGTGCCTGGGGCAATAAGCCGACCCGAATATAAGCTGAGGCACCCAATTTTACCACAAAAAACTGGGAAAACGTACTGACTCGAGTATAAGTCAAAGGTGGGAAATGAAGCAGCTACTGGTCAATTTAAAAATAAAAATAGATACTAATAAAATTACATTAATTTAGGCATCCGAAGGTTAAATGTTTTTGAATATTTCCATAAAACTGTAAGATAAGACTATCCAACTCTGATTAAATCATTATTCTAACCTTCTTCAATGTAAATGTGCTTACATATCCTTCCAATAATAATAAAGAGAGTAAAATAATAAATGTATAATAATAATAGAGAAAAATAATAAATGTAATAATAACTATAATACTAAAGCAGGGGTCCTCAAACTTTTTAAACAGAGGGCCAGGTCACAGTCCCTCAGACTGTTAGAGGGTCAGATTATAACTTGAAAAAGACATGAATGAATTCTTATTTGTAGTGCAAAAAACACTTACAAACAATACAATAATTAAAATGAAGAACAAATATAGAATTATTCGTATTTCAATGGAAAGTGTGGGCTTGCTTTTAGCTGATGAGACAGGATTGTTGTTGTGTGTGTTGTCAAGTCGTTTCAGACTTAGGTTGACCCTGAGCGAGGGCCAGATAAATGACCTTGGAGGGCCATATCTGGCCCATGGGCCCTGTACTAAAGTAAAATAATAAATGTAATAATAATAATAATAATAATAATAGAGAAAAATAATAAATAATAATAGTAATAAATAGAATAAAATAATAAATGTAATGACAATAATAGGGTAAAATAATAAATGTTACAATAATAATAGAGAAAAATAATAAATGCAATAATAATAATGATAATAGAGTAAAATAATGTAAATGTAATAATAATTATTAATAATATTAATAATAGTAACAGAGAAAAATACTAAATATTGACTCAAATATAAGCCGAGGGGGGCTTTTTCAACCTAAAAAAGGGCTGAAAAACTCAGCTTATACTCGAGTATGTATGGTAACTCCTCGTTTTATACTAAGATGTTTTCTCCAGCAGTGAAACATGTTCTCTGTCTTCTCTGGTTAGATTGGATGGGAAGTGAGAACAGCCACTACTGACCTGATTTCACTGCTCCTGATGTCTTAGATAATATCTCCCTTGAACTCTTCCAGTTGACAATGATAGGAATTGCTTTCCTGCATGTATGGAAGGGCACAAGGTGGCTGAAGTCTGGGCTACAAAAGCATTTAAAATCTATCTGATATGAGGCTGGTCTTTTTCCTTCTTTTACGTGTTGGATTGCTTTGTTCTTTCAGATCCAGATGCCCAACGAAGCAGGAGACAAATCTTACCTCTTGCCTCCACAACCCGTCAAACAGTTCCTGATCTCACCACCTGCATCCCCCCCAGTAGGATGGAAGCCGAGTGAAGATGCCACTCCCATGATAAACTATGACTTACTCTGCGCCGTCTCAAAGTTGGGGCCAGGTAGGAGTTTTTCTTTCTGTCCTACTTTCTCTGGTGTTAATAAAATTGATAGAAGTAGGCCTGTAAATGTAGTAATTCTCCAGATAACGAGGCAAGGAAACCTTCTGAAAGTTGGTTCTTGTGGCATCCTCTTAGAAACTTTGGCTGCTGTCATGATTCCATATTTTCAGTGCCAGATCAAGGCATTCATAACTGCTCAAATCTTTTGAGTTGGTTGTATTGCTTTTTGTTTTAAGGTCTTGTTAAGGCTATGATCAAAGGTCTGGTAACTGTGAATCCCTATTAGCACTGCCATATGTTTAGCTTGCAGAAGCGAAGATTGAGAGTGTTGGAATTGAACCCACACTGCCCAAGTCTCAAGTCCTCAACGAGGAACAGTTAGTTTAGTATAGTATGAGGGAATACCCTTCCCTCATGTCTCCTATATGACAGTTGGAATGTATCTAATTTCTTCTCACTGTTTCTGCTCTCATTCTGATTGATTGTTTACAATAGATACTTTTCTACTGTAAGCTTTTTGAACCTGATTTCTGCCTTCTTACACTTGAGTAGAGACATCAGACTAGCAACAAAGATCCGCCTAGTCAAAGCCATGGTATTCCCCATAGTAACCTACGGATGTGAGAGCTGGACCTTAGGGAAGGCTGAGCGAAGGAAGATCGATGCTTTTGAGCTGTGGTGTTGGAGGAAAGTTCTGAGAGTGCCTTGGACTGCGAGAAGATCCAACCAGTCCATCCTCCAGGAAATAAAGCCCGACTGCTCATTGGAGGGAAGGATACTAGAGACAAAGTTGAAGTACTTTGGCCACATCATGAGGAGACAGCAAAGCCTAGAGAAGACAATTATGCTGGGGAAAGTGGAAGGCAAAAGGAAGAGGGGCCGACCAAGGACAAGATGGATGGATGGCATCCTTGAAGTGACTGGACTGACCTTGAAGGAGCTGGGGGTGGTGACGGCCGACAGGGAGCTCTGGCGTGGACTGGTCCATGAGGTCACGAAGAGTCGGAGACGACTGAATGAATGAACAACACACATTTGAGTCTAGAGAGTATGTGCTGTGTGCTTTGAGATCTCTCTCTGCGTGTCAGGAGAGATGTAGTGATAGGCAATTTTTCCCTCTCTTTGAACATTAGAAGAATCATAGAATCATAGAGTTAGAAGAGACCTTATGGGCCATCCTGTCTAACCCCCTGCCAAAAAGCAGGAATATTGCATTCAAAGCACCCCCGACAGATGGCCATCCAGCCCCTGAGTAAAAGCCTCCAAAGAAAGAGCCTCCACCACACTCCGGGGCAGAGAGTTCCACTGCTGAATAGCTCTCACAGTCAGGAAGTTCTTCCTAATGTTCAGATGGAATCTCCTCTCTTGTAGTTTGAAGCCATTGCACTGCGCCCTAGACTGTAGGGCAGCAGAAAACAAGTTTGCTCCCTCCTCCCTGTGACTTCCTCTCACATACTTATACATGGCTATCATGGCTATTATGTCTCCTCTCAGCCTTCTCTTCTCCAGGCTAAACATGCCCAGCTCTTTAAGCCACTCCTCGTAGGGCTTGTTCTCCAGACCCTTGATTATTTTAGTCGCCCTCCTCTGGACACATTCCAGCTTGTGAACATCTCCCTTCAATTGTGGTGCCCAGAATTGGACACAATATTCCGGATTTGGTCTAACCAAGGCAGAATAGAGGGGTGGCATGACTTCTCTGAATCTAGACATTATACTCCTATTTATTCAGGCCAAAATCCCATTTTTGCCACCGCATCACATTGTTGACTCATGTTTAACTTGTCGTTTACGAGGACTTCAAGATCTTTTTCACACATTCAGCTCTCGACCCATGTGTCCCCCATTCTTATCTTTGCATTTCATTTTTTCTGCCTAAGTGGAGAAGAGATGGGTGTTAGAGTAGCTCATAACCGGTTCTTTACCGTGAAGAAATGTAGTTATTTCTTATTATTGTAAATACATCTTTTATTATTTTTAAGATTGCACGTTTGCCTCCTAAGCTCTGAATTCTTTACAGCCACATCACACGGCACCTCACGCTCTGCTCACTAATGAACTGATGCTCAACTTTTGTATCATGTTTGATTTTTGGATGCTCTGCTATATTTAGGGTAGTTTCCCCTAACGGAGAGGAGACATGAGGACAATGTTTAAATATTTGAAAGAATGTCATAAGGAAAAGGGATCAGTGAGCTGTTGTAGGTTTTTTCGGGCTATATGGCCATGTTCTGGAGGCAATTTTTCTCCTGATGTTTCGCCTGCATCTATGGCAAGCATCCTCAGAGGTAGTGACCTTTCAGTCAGCTAGTTCAGTGGTATAATTTATTTTATTTATTTATTTATTTCGGCTCAACTGGCACAAATTCGATACCTACAATTCAATACAGTAAAATACAAATAACAGTAGTTACAAATAATTAAAACATTAAATTAATACAATAAAATCTAATAGAAAAAATATAATACAGAGAGAGGTCATCCCCCCTGTTCAAGGAGCTCCACTGGCTACCATTCATCTACCGAACCCAATTCAAGGTGCAGGTTCTTACCTACAAAGCCCTGAACAGTTTGGGACCCACCTACCTGCATGACCGCATCTCTGCATACGAACCCACACGATCCCTTCGATCATCCGGAGAGGCCCTGCTCTCGATCCCACCAGCATCGCAGGCGCGATTGGTGGGGACGAGAGAGAGGGCCTTTTCAGTGGTGGCCCCTCGACTCTGGAACTCACTCCCTAAAGACCTCAGACAGGCTCCAACTTTGACAGTCTTCAGGAGGAACTTGAAGACGTGGTTGTTCCAGTGTGCCCTCCCGGAATAATGACCCCATAGCACTTTGTCCTCCAAAGCACTTTACATTTCTTTAAGTCTGCTGGTATGCCCTTTCACAAGCACCAGTATCACCTTCCGTTCATGTCCCAGCATTATTTCCAATTTTAACTTAACATTTGGCCTTCCCACTGTTTTTAATTATGTGTTGTTTTATTGACAATGTTGTTTATCTTATTGTCTATGTGTTTTTAATTGCTTGTATTGTTGTTATTTTGCTTGTATTGTTGTGTTTGGGCTCGGCCTCATGTAAGCCGCACCGAGTCCCTTGCGGAGATGGTAGCAGGGTACAAATAAAGTGGTGGTGGTGGTGGTGGTGTTGTTATTATTGAAAAAAGCCAGCCTGGTGACCATCATTCCTCCGAGTTCTGTAATTAGTGAGTCCATTCAGCTTATCATAGTCCATTTCCGAAGCTTTTGTCATCATTGTCCATGTCAGTCTGCCAGATTACTCAAACGTCTGGTCCCATATCCATGTTTTTAATTTCCTTCTAAAAGAGCGGAGGGATGACGATGATCTAATTTCCCTGGGGAGTGAATTCCACAAGCGGGGGGCCACCACCGAGAAGGCCCTATCCCTCGTCCCCACCAGTCTCGTTTGTGACAAGTGTGGGGCCGAGAGCAGGGCCTCTCCAGAAGATCTCAAATTCCTAGGTGAGGACGTAGAAGGAGATACGTTCGGACAGGTACACTGGGCCGGAGTCGTGTAGGGTTTTATAGGTCAAGACCAGCACTTTGAATTGTATATCCTGCTGCGCCACTGGGGGCTCCTCTCCCTTGTACACTACTCCAAAATCAATCAGTCACTTATGTTATGTACTGTTGACTATGCTTGCATTGTAATGCTGCAACTCTTCCTGTGTTTTAGGAGAAAAGTATGAGCTGCACGCAGGAACAGAGTCCACTCCCAGTGTGGTGGTCCATGTCTGTGAAAGTGAAACAGAAGAGGAAGACGACATTAAAAACCCCAAGCAGAAGATTGTGCAGACAAGGCGTCCCGATCCACCGCCCACATTACTAAATGAAACAAAAACTCTTGAATGTGCACTCGAGGTCGGGGGTGGGATGCACTACTGACCTGAGACTAATAAGAGCAGCGGATGGCGGTCGTGTTTGCATTGCTGCTTTATGCATCGCAGCAACGGACTTCTCTTGTAGTTGTCTCGTGTCAAGACGATTTTAGATGCCAACGTTTTGAAGAGCACTTTAAGGTTAACTTTCAAGATGTAGCAAATCAACTGGGTTTTAAGTCCCAGACGACTAGGAGAGTGCCATTTCTGGAATATGTGTGTTATTGCCATTTTCTTGATGTTCAGAAGGCTCAAAGGAATGTGGCTGCCGCCACCTCTGTAGGGGTCACCACTTGGTTTTGTATGTGAGTCTCTCATGTATAGTTTTGTGTGCTGATGTATAACACGATGTTCTGAATAATAATATATTGATGAAAAATAAATGTAATGTACAATGTACATTGTTATCAGTAGAAGAATCTCAAAACTGGCTTGGGGGTGATAGAACCACATTTCTGAGCAGTCTTGTTCTGTGGCTTTTGTTTTTTCCCTTAGACATGCCATAGTGGTGTCTGTTGACTTTTGGAGTATTCTTGTGAATCGATGTGAGGCAACCCCTCCCCAAAAGAAAACCCAGAATGGGAACTCTATCGTTGGTTGTCTTTCTGCTCAGCGCGATAATGAAAATGGAATTGCATACAAGGAAGCTGCAGGTTATGGATAGGCTCCTTCTTGGGCGCTCGCTTTGTAACGTTTCCTTGCTTGTGTGCCTCTTTGCTGTGACTGTTCCTAAAGCAAGGTGATTTTGTACATATGTTTAGCTTTGTACCTCCAGCAGTAGGAACTATGCAGCCAGCGAGGGTCCTGCATCCATAGTCTTTTGCCAAATGTAGCAACTGGATTTCCCATCTTGTGTCTGGGATATGGTATGTTCTCCCCAGCAAAGATAGGTACGAATGTAAAAAAAAAATGCACAATCACCCCCTGTAGCAGTGATAGTATAGCAGTGTTCTAGAAGAATATGTGGAATCATTTCCCCCTCATTCCTTTCCTTGAAGATGAGCAGGTCTGGCTGTATTGGTCTGGCTGGGCTATTACAGTCCTGCTCTTCATCTCTCCTACATTTGGCCCCAAGTGTACTGCACTGTTTTATTTTCAGAGCAAGGCCGCAACTCTTGGCAAATGTCTGCTTAAGTTGCTTTGTTTATGCCTCGTCCTTTCTCCGCTGCCCCCGGCATCAAATACTCTGTTCTTCTTACTCTTCTCAGGAAGGGAGAATATTTTGCAGCCAGATAGTTTTCTCTCTCCCGCTGCTGAAAAAAAGTGCTGACAATCCAGCTGCCTGGCTTGACAAATAAGGCTAGACCTATTTGCACAAGCCTTCTCTTACCACTGTGTTTCCCTTCTTGAACCAAATAGCACCTTAAGATGCCATATACCCAGTTTCCTGTCATTCCGACACTTTGTAGTTCATAGCTACTCTTTCGTTGCTGAAGTAAGGGACAAAATAGAGAGCAAAGGAAGTATAATGTGTTGTTGAAGGATTTCGTGGCCAGAATCACTGGGTTGCTGTGAGTTTTCCGGGCTGGCCATGTTCCAGAAGCATTTTCTCCTGACATTTCACCTGCAGCTATGACAGGCATCCTCAGAGGTTGTGAGGTCTGTTGGAAACTAGAGAAGTGGGGTTTATATATCTGTAGAATAATGTCCAGGGTGGGAGAAAGAACTCTTGTCTATTTGAGGCAAGTGGGAATGTTGCCACTGGCCAGATTGATTAGTATTTAATGGCCTTGCTCCTTCAAAGCCTGGCTGATTGCTGCCTGGGGGAATCCTTTGTTTGGAGGTGTTAGCTGGCACTGATTGATTCATGTCCATGGCCTTGCAGCTTCAGTGCCTGGCTGGTTGTTGCCTTGGGGGGGGATCCTTTGTTGTGAGGATTCTGCTGCCCTAGGGACTAAGACGGAGAATAATGGCTTCAAACTACAAGAAAGGAGATTCCATCTGAACATTAGGAAGAACTTCCTGATTGTGAGAGCCGTTCAGCAGTGGAACTCTCTGCCCCGGAGTGTGGTGGAGGCTCCTCCTTTGGAAGCTTTTAAACAGAGGCTGGATGGCCATCTGTTCGGGGGTGCTTTGGATGCAATTTTCCTGCTTCTTGGCAGGGGGTTGGACTGGATGGTCCATGAGGTCCCTTCCAACTCTATGATTCTATGGCATATTATTTGAGAACACAGAAATGCTGGACCACTCTAACAACCACCATGCCAGACTACACAGAGAAGCCATTGAAATCCACAAGAAGCATGTGAACAATTTCAACAGAAAGGAAACCATGAAAAGGAACAAAATCTGGCTACCAGTATTAAAAAAACCATAAAATTAACAGTAAATAAAGAACAACACCCAAAAAACAGGGGAATTCCAAACATGAATCAATCAGGGCCAGCTAACACCTCCAACAAAGGATTCTCCCAGGCAGTAATCAGCCAGACCTTGAAGCTGCAAGACCATTCAGTGCTAATCAAGGTGGCCATTTGCAACATTCACACTTGCCTCCAACAGAAAAGAGTTCTTTCTCCCACTATGGACATTATTTCACAGATATATAAACCCCACTTGCCTAGCTTCCAATAGACCTCTCAACCTCTGAGGATGCCTGCCATAGATGCAGGCAAAATGTCAGGAGGAAATGCTTCTGAACATGGCCATATAGACTGGAAAACTCACAGGAACACAAGTATATGTGTTGACTTTGATTTTGTCAACAAATGTTCTGTGAATTATGTTGGACCGAAGGGTGGAGAAGCGTTCCTCACTTTGCCCAGCGGCAAAAAGAGGCGCAATGCCTTCCATGTCAGTCTCCCGTCTCACTGCGTCATGTTGCATTGCCTTTCATCAGCTTGCCTAATTGCGCATGTGCAACCATTCCCAAAGTCCAATATACACAGCCTCTCCCATCACGCCTTTCCAGTGGCTTGCATCTGATCAGTGGGCAGAAAGGAAGAGAATAGCCATGGAGAATAGCAAGCGACTGAGGCCAAATACGTGGGCACTTCTTCAGGATATTCTCTATTGTGTCAAACTTTATCAGACCATTCTGAATGGATGAAGACTATCATTTTATGGGACCAGAATTCTGGCTTAGTGATTGTTTGAAGAGGGCCAGTAGGATTCATTTCAGGATCCTGTAAATTTTACTCGAGAGCCTTAGGCCAGTGAAGGATCTCAGGCTCACCTTTCTCTTGGATTTGATGTGTTCCTTGGATGCAAATCAGATATTTTTTTTAAGTGGAAATCAAAAGCAACTGCTATTTTTCCAGAATGAATCTTAATTCTTACCTGCTTATTAAGAACCAGGGTACTTATTCTTCCTTGATGTATCAACAAACTGTTGACATTTCCTTCAATATGACAATATGTTCTGTTAACTTTTTCAAAAATCTGATAACATTTATTCTAGCAAAAAGTATTGGTGATTGCCAATAAATTGTCGAAGTCCTAGTCCATGTTTGCTGTGGTATACTTTTGAGTCTGCATTTGCACAAGAAGATGACATTTGATACTTTAGTATTATAGTTATTATTACATTTATTTTTTTACTTTCGTATTCTAGTTATTACATTTATTATTTTACTCTATTATTAAAAATAAAAATAGACACCAATAAAATTACATTAAAGGAGACATCAGTAGATTAAATGTTTTTGAATATTTACATAAAAGTATAATTTAAGTTAAGATTGCCCAGCTCTGATGAAACCCTTATTCTAACATTCTTCATTGTGAATGTGCTTACATTTATTTATTTATTTACTTTAGAATCATAGAATCAAAGAGTTGGAAGAGACCTCAGAATTGAACACAATATTACAGGTGTGGTCTAACCAAAGCAGAAATAATGGCTTCAAACTACAAGAAAGGAGATTCTGCTGCCTGAGACTAAGACGGGGAATCATAGAATCAAAGAGTTGGAAGAGACCTCATGGGCCATCCAGTCCAACCCCCCTGCCAAGAAGCAGGAATATTGCATTCAAATCACCCCTGACAGATGGCCATCCAGCCTCTGTTTAAAAGCTTCCAAAGAAGGAGCCTCCACCACACTCCGGGGCAGAGAGTTCCACTGCTGAATGGCTCTCACAGTCAGGAAGTTCTTCCTAATGTTCAGATGGAATCTCCTCTCTTGTAGTTTGAAGCCATTGTTCCGTGTCCTAGTCTCCAAGGAAGCAGAAAACAAGCTTGCTCCCTCCTCCCTGTGGCTTCCTCTCACATATTTATACATTGCTATCATATCTCCTCTCAGCCTTCTCTTCTTCAGGCTAAACATGCCCAGCTCCTTAAGCCGCTCCTCATAGGGCTTGTTCTCCAGACCCTTGATCATTTTAGTCGCCCTCCTCTGGACACATTCCAGCTTGTCAATATCTCTCTTGAATTGTGGTGTCCAAACTTTATTTATATACCGCTTTTCTCAGCCCTCAGGCGACTCAAAGCGGTGAACAACATCAATACAAAACATCACGAGACAAGTATAGGGCAATTAAAAACAATTGTAACATAAATCATTAAACATACGGATAACAATCGTTAGTGCCTCAACAGTAAAATCAGAATCCAGTCTTCTACATGGAACACTTTGAAAAACAAGCCCTGGAGACAGCAACCAAAAAGCCCACGATATGGTTCAGATATGTGGATGACACCTTCACCATTTGGAGCCATGGAGAAGAAGAACTCAACAGGTTCTGGACTTCACAGCATCCACCCAAACATCCAATTCACCATGGAAAAAGAAAATGAAGGAAGACTGCCCTTTCTAGATGTCCTAGTCATCCGCAAACCAGATCAACAATTGAGTCACACCGTTTACAGAAAACCCACACACACGGATAGATATCTACATAAAAACTCCAACCATCACCCAAGTCAAAAAAGAAGCACCATTAAAGCCTAGGCAGAAGCAGTAGCAAAAAACATCACCCAAGTCAAAAAAGAAGCACCATTAAAGCCTTGGCAAACCGTGCAAAAAGAATCTGCGAACCCCACCTCCTCCAAGATGAACTGAACCACCTAAACTGGGCTCTACAGGCCAATGGATATTCCACCTCAGACATCAGGAGAGCGGCAAGACCAAGAACAAGCCACGAGAGTAAAGATGAAGATCCACCCAGAGGAAAAGTGTTCTTGCCATACATCAAGGGAACCACTGACCGCATAGGGAAGCTGATGAGGAAACACAACATACAAACAATCTACAAACCCACCAAGAAAATCCAACGAATGCTACGTTCAGCAAAGGACAAGAGGGATCCTCTCACCTCTGCAGGAGTCTACCGTATACCATGCAGCTGTGGACAAGTCTACATAGGGACCACCAAACGCAGCATTGCCCAAACATGAATCAAGGAACATGAAAGGCACTGCAGACTACTTCAACCAGAGAAGTCAGCCATAGCAGAGCACCTGATGAACCAGCCTGGACACAGCATATTATTTGAGAACACAGAAATGCTGGACCACAGCAACAACCACCATGTCAGACTACACAGAAAAGCTATTGAAATCCACAAGCATGTGGACAATTTCAACAGAAAGGAAGAGACCATGAAAATGAACAAAATCTGGCTACCAGTATTAAAAAACTCTAAAATTACAGCAGCAAAACAGCAGAGAGGAAACAACCAGGCACATCTTAACACCTCTCAACAAAAGATTTTCTCAGGCTCAGCCAGGCCTTCAAATGCTAATGAAGGTGGTCAGTTGAAACATTCACACCTAGCTCCAGCAGAGAAGAGCTCTGTGCCCCACCCCAGTCATTCCACAGATATATAAACCCATTGTCCTACTTCCAACAGACCTCACTACCTCTGAGGATGCTTGCCATAGATGCAGGCGAAACGTCAGGAAAATCATTAAACATCAGTATAACAATCATTAGCGCCTCAACAGTAAAATCAGAATCCAGTCTCATCATCCATTATTCCGTATTCCTATGTTCAATTACACTGTTTAATCAAATGCTTGTTCGAACAGCCAGGTCTTCACTTTCCTCCGAAACGCCAGCAGGGAGGGGGCCGATCTGATATATCCTTCCAATAATAATAAAGAGAGCTAAATAATAAATGTAATGATAATAATAATAATATAATAAATCTAATAATAATAATAGAATAAAATAATGAAATGTAATATAACAATAATATTAGAGTAAAATAATAACCTCCGCCTCGTCCTTTCTTCCCTCACAAAACCTCCATTCGAGCCGCTTTCCTCCACCGACCACTCACACCCCTCTTGGAAGACTGCATTGTTCCTCGCCATCACCACTGCCCACCGGGCGAGCGAACTCGCCGCCCTGCGTGCCGATGATCCCTACATCCGATTCCATAAGGACAATGTGGTCCTACGGACAGACATCTCTTACCTACCGAAGGTCGCCTCCCCATTCCACTCTGCTCAGGACATTGTCCTCCCAGCTTTCTTCCAGAACCCCTCATCTCCTCTCGAGTGTGCCCTCCATCTCCTTGATGTCCGCAGGGCGGTGCTCTATTACCTTGACCACACCAAGCCCTTCAGGAAGTCTCACCTCTTCCTCCAGTACAGGCCAACTACCAGGGGCGCGCCGGTCTCCTCACAACGACTGTCAGCTTGGGTCCTCGCAGCCATCCGCCTCTCCTACCACCTGGTGGGCAAGGACCCTCTGGAGGTCCTCAAGGCCCACTCCACCCGGGCGGTCACGACCTCTACTGCCTTTGCCCACGGCGTCCCTCTCACTGATGTCTGCAGGGCTGCCACTTGGTCATCGCCGCTGACGTTCATCCAGCATGACAAGATCGACCTCCTATCGAAGCACCAGGCAGCATTTGGGAGAGCAGTCCTATTCTCGACTCTGGCATGACGCCCACCTTCCACGGTAAGTGGATTTTTAATCTACCTTAAGTGTGCATTCCTCAGAGACCACGAGAACGAAACTATGGTTGCTTACCTGTAACTGTGGTTCTTCGAGTGGTCATCTGTGGAATCCACACATCCCGCCCTTCCTTCCCACATCGCTCATGCCTTTGTCTCTGCCACTTCTGTGGCAGGGAACTAGTGCTGGGCACATGACTGGGAGTACAGGGGCGGGGCCATACTTGGGTTAATTATTTGTAAAAATTTCCGGAGCTGCTACCTATTGGCACCAGAATACCTTAAGTGTGGATTCCACAGATTACCACTCGAAGAGCCACGGTTACAGGTAAGCAACAATAGTTTACATATCCTTCCAATAATAATAAAGAGAGCTAAATAATAAACGCATCTCCACCTACGAACCGACGAGGACCTTAAGATCGTCCGGGGAGGCCCTGCTCTCGGTCCCGCCGGCGTCACAAGCGCGGTTGGCGGGGACGAGAGACAGGGCCTTCTCGGTGGTGGCCCCTCGGCTATGGAATGCCCTACCAGTGGACATCAGGCAGGCTCCTTCGTTACTGGTGTTTCGGAGGAGGGTGAAGACGTGGCTCTATGAACAGGCATTTGGATAACTATGCAATGACAACTAACTCAGTAAGACGGCATTCGAACAAGGAACGGAAAAAGGATTGTGAGAACGGGATCTGATTCTAATTGAGGCGTCGATGACTATGTGTGTTGTTTGTGTATGTGCGTCTTATATATTGTTCAGTGTTGCCATTTTTTATTGTAAACCGCATTGAGTCGCCGTCTCAGGCTGATAAATGCGGTATACAAATGGAGTAAATAAATAATAAATAAATAAATAAATAAATGTAATAGTAATAATAAAATAAAATAATGAATCTAATAATAATAATAATAATAATAATAATAATAATAATAATAATAGAGTAAAATAATGGAAATGTAATAATACTAATAATAAAGTAAAATAATAAATGTAATAAAAGAATAAAATAATACATGTAATAATAACAATACATAGAGTAAAGTAATGGAAATGTAATAATAACAGTAATAGAGCAAAATAATAAATGTAATAATAAAGTAAAATAATAAATGCAATAATAGCGTAAAATAATACATGTAATAATAATAAAAATAATAAATGCAATAATAACTGTAATAATAGAGCAAAATAATAAATGTAATAATAATAAATAGAATAAAATAAAATAATAAATGTAATAATAATAGAGTAAAATAACAAATATAGTAATAATAGTAACAGAGTAAAATAATAAATAACCTCGAATAAAAGCCTAGGGGGGCTTTTTCAGCCTTAACAAATGTTGAAAAAGCTCAGTTTATACTCAAGGATATAGAATAAGTAAGTTTTGGTAATGTGAGGCCTGATTTTTCCCAGAAGTTGCAGTTTAGCTAAAAAAAAGTCGAGTTGGTGAGTTATATCTTAAAATACATTTATCAGAATGACTTTACAGAGCATTTCAGAAGTACTCTCCAAACTTCTGCATTCTTTGAAACTCTTCAAATTAGTTGCGTGGGGAGGGGAAATAGCAGTCTTTAGGTCTCGATGAAATAGTGAAGAGTAGAGACATCACACTGGCAACGAAGATCCGCATAGTTAAAGCAATGGTATTCCCCATAGTCACCTACGAATGTGAGAGCTGGACCATAGGGAAGGCTGAGCGAAGGAAGATCGATGCTTTTGAACTGTTTTGTTGGAGGAAAGTTCTGAGAGTGCCTTGGACTGCAAGAAGATCCAACCAGTCCATACTTCAGGAAATAAAGCCTGAGTGCTGATTAGAGGGAAGGATAGTAGAGACAAAGTTGAAGTACTTTGGCCACATCATGAGGAGACAGCAAAGCTTAGAGAAGACAATGATGCTGGGAAAAATGGAAGGAAAAAAGGAAGAGGGGCCAACCAAGGGCAAGATGGATGGATGACATCCTTGAAGTGACTGGCTTGACTCTGAAGGAGCTGGGGGTGGGAACGGCCTACAGGGAGCTCTGGCGTGGGCTGGTCCATGAGGTGATGAAGAGTCGGAAACAACTGAACGAATGAACAACAACAAGGTTGTGGAGTTCTAAGGAATTCAAGAGATTTGACAGTATTTTGTGACCTCGAGCAGACATACAAGGGTTATCCGGAAAGTAAGGTTACAAGATCTTTTTAATACAAAGAATGAATATATTTTAATAGAACTTACATAGATTGTAGCATAGGGATTACATTATTTATCCACATAATCACCATTCAGTTCAATACATTTTGTCATCCGTGGGACGGGTTTTTGATGCCTGTGTCACAGAAGTTTCCCTCCGCGTTTTTCAGCCAGTACGTCACTTTGATTTTCACCTTGTCGTCGTTGGAAAAGTATTTTCCACCCAGGTGTTCCTTCAATTTAGTGAACAGGTGATAGTCACTGGGTATGAGATCAGGGCTGCGAGAGGGGTAGCTTCAAACATCCCAACCAAAGGAAGTCAACAACTCTTGTGTTGCATGAGTGGTGTGCGAACGCGCATTGACATGAAGGAGACAGACTCCCGCCATCAGCATCCCACCACGTTTGTTTTGGATGGCTCTGCAAAGTTTCTTCATGGCCTCACAATGTATTCCATACCTATTTTATCACATGTTGTCTTGACATTACGTCCTCTCCATAAACTGAAATGATTTGGCGATGAATCGCAGTGGTGTTCATGCTCTTCATGTTGAGGTAGTGTATTACAGCGCAAACTTCACACTTGGAGGGAAACGGAATGAGGACACTCATGTCTAACTTTCACCACAACACCAGTTGATGTGCTACTAACGTCCGGCACTGCTCATTCACTTTTGTTAGTTTCCTGCTTTATGGCAGTGAGATCAACGTCCCCCAAGAAAGTTCCCCACAAGAGCTACGTGCCTTGTAACCTTACTTTCCGGATAACCCTCGTAACTTGATACCACTAGTTAGCTGGCATCAGATTCTTCTTTAGAAATCTTGTGAGACTTCTACATTTGTCAGGTTGCAGAACTTGATCTTTCCGTTCTCATTTTTGTACAATTCTGACGCCATATATTGTATCTGTCAGGGAACTGAATCCGTACATTTGCAAAACAGAATAAGAGTGATCAGCACCTGGCAATGCTTGGGGCGAAATCTGCTCTTTTGAAGGTTGTTACCTGGGTTTTTTCTACCCAGGGCATGAAAAGGGGGAAGTCTAAAAAGTCATTGCAAAAAGTTTTTCTAACTCCCTGCTTTAGAAAGTATAGGCGATAGTGTTGCCATGTCCTCTTATTTTCTCAAATAAGCTTTCGGACAAAAACGAATAAGGAATAAGCACTGTGGAAATGTGAAAATACTGCACAGGTATAATGAATCCTCAAAGCATAGGCCAGCGTTTCTCAACCTGAGGGTCGGGACCCCTGGGTTGGTCATGAGGGGTGTGTCAGAGGGGTCGCTAAAGACCATCAGAAAACACAGTATTTTCTGTTGGTCATGGGGGTTCTTGTGTGGGAAGTTTGTTCCAATTCTATCATTGGTGGGGTTCAGAATGCTCTTTGATTGTAGGTGAACTATACATCCCAGCAACTACAACTCCCAAATGTCTTGGTCTATTTTCCCCAAACTCCACATTTGGGCATATTTAGTATCTATGCCAAGTTTGATCCAGATCCATCATTGTTTGAGTCCACAGTGCTCTCTGGGTATAGGTGAACTACAACTCCAAAACTCAAGTTCAATGCTCACCAAACCCTTCCAGTATTCTCTGTTGGTCATAGCAGTTCTGTTTGCCAAGTTTGGTTCAATTCCATCGTTGATGGAGTTCAGAATGCTCTTTGATTGTAGGTGAATGATAAATCCCAGCAACTACAACTCCTAAATTTATTTATTTACTTCGTACACTTCTATCCCGCCCTTCTCCCCACAAGAGGGACTCAGGATGGCCTCACAAAGGCGTCAACGATGCTTACAACATATACATCATACAAATAAAATAAAACAGTAAAACAGTAAAAACATCATACAGCTCTGGTACATGACCCCACAAAAATTAGGTTTAATGTATAATAATGTTCAGAACAAGTGTTGGAAGTGCGAAATGCAAGTTGGAACGTTCTATCATGGATGGTGGACATGTCCCAAAGTAAAAACATTTTGGAAAATGATACAAGAGTTATGCGAAAAAATATTAAGAATAAAGATCCGGCTGAAACCTGAATATTTTTTTGTTAGGACTAATGGATGAAGAAATTGAATTAGATCAAAATAAGGATATTTTATTCATGTATCTCATTACCACCGCTAGAATGGTACTCGCAAAAAAATGGAAACAAAGAGAACTATCAACAAGGGAAGAATGGCTAAATAAAATTCAGGAAATAAGAGATGCGGATAAACTGACCTTTGCTTTAAAAGACTCATATGGAAGACCGATCAAGAAAACTGACTGGGAAGCATTCGATGAATACTTGGCCGAATTAGAGAGACAAAAAGAGCTGCAGAAAGGATCGACATAGTCCGGAATAAGGGAGCGGTACAGAAGAGAATTAAGGAAAACACAAACAGATTCAGAAGCGGGGAGGAAAAGAAGATCCAAGAGTGCAGTTGAGATAGGAACATATCCTACTGGAAGATGCGGAGAAGGAGATTTGGAAGTCAATGAAACCCCTTTCACCCCCCCCCCCCTTTGTTTTCTTTTTTTTCCCCTTCCCCTCAATCCCTCAGACCTTCCTTATTTGTCCACTTTCTCACCCCTGTGAAAGCACAATACTCAATACCTAATACTTACCTATACCCCAACCCAATCTCTGTACCCAAACCTTACCTTTCTTGTCTACCCCGATTTTATGTAAAACTAAAGTAGAAATGCATTTAATATTTTTTTAATCGTACACATCAGTCAATAAATTCATTTACCAATGATATTAAAATCCCAGTAAAACCAAAAATCAAGAATCAGGAAATCCACTGTCACAAACCCAGATTCCTTTTCTATTGTCACTTTCAT